GCGCCTTCGGCCCCAAACCACCCCGCCGCTGCCCCTAATCGGCCACATGCTCCCGGCGCTGCTCGAGCAGCTAATGGCCACCAAATGCACCTCTAATGCTCTTAGGCCAACTAAGCCGCCCGCAAATGAGCTTTTTTGGGGGGAGAGGGGAGGGGGAAGCAGAGGAGGGGGTCATGGGCAAGCAGTTTTGCCAACACTGGTGATGGATGTGCCCCCCTGCTCGCTCATCCGCATCCCCATCACCGCCAGCGCATCCCTCCCCATGAAGTACCCCGGTCCCGCAACCTGGGGCATCTTTACCTTTAAGGATGGCGACGGGAAGAATTATAAAAGAAAATCAATTCCCACTGTGGAAATGCCAAAGCCCAAGAGAGGTTGGCCCCTGGAGGTGGGGGGTGGAGGCGAGGGTGCTGCCAGCCCTGCTCGGAGCCGAGGGAAACCTGGCGCTTCCCCATGTCGTTACCCGCCGGACTCTTGTTTTGAAACCAGTCCCTTCCCTGGGTCAGCGGCTGCTTAGTGCTGCGTAGCCAGAGCCTCAAAATAGACCATAAGTACATAAGTAACCCGAGCTGGGCTAGCATGAACCCCCTCGCCTCTCTTCCCCATGCCCAACACCCAGAAAAATTCCCCTCTGGGTTGTTTTACCCCGACGCAACGAGACGAGGTGGGAGCAAGGAGGTGGGCTGAGCACCGACCACCTCATCACACCACTGTCGCCGGGGCTCCTCCACACCTGAGCATCTTTTACAAACCTGCCCGCCGGCTCCTGCTTCGCCAGCGGTCCCCCGGGAATGAAAAAATCAAATAGCAAAAAATCAAACAGCAAAGAGGAGGGGGGAAAAAACCAAACAGCCAGGTGAGGCGGCAGGGGGGAGCGGGGCCGCTCTCCTGAACGTGCCCAGCGTGGCTGATGAAATCCTGGACTTTCCTACTGGAAGGGCGCTACTTATTTATTATTGGCAGCCCTGGCACTGCCCTGGTGCACAGTGCATCCCCGCACCCGTGGTTTTACAGCCAGGATTTTGGAAAGGAGCTTAGAAGGGGCTGAGAGCTGGGGAAGGACCAAAACTCATGGGGATTTCGGCACTGAGCCCTATCCAGCTCCTCCACAGACCCTGATGCATCCCCTTCCCCTTCTCCAAGTTGCCCTGAACCCTTTTGTCAGCCACATCACATCACTCCTGACTCATTTTTTCCTTTTTTTTTTTTTCCTCGCAAAAAAATAATCGGGTAACGCTACCCCAGAGCCAGGAAGAGATGGGATGGAGCCAGCTCTGCGGTTTGTCACGGTGACCCATGGCTGAGCAGTGTCGACCCATGGGCTCTTTCGGTTACGGTGCCTTGGGTTTTCTCTTTTTCTTCAGGACACTGAAGAAAAACTAATAATCTGCCCTGCAAGGATGTTCTGCAAAGTTCAAACCCCGGCCAGGCCGTAGGGACCAACGGGATATCCCACAGGGAATTTTCCAGTCCCCACTGAGGAAAATCAGATTTTAGCTGCTGACGGAGGTTGGAAGCTCAGTGGAGGGACGGGAGTGAGGTGAGAGCTGCCTCCTAACATCATTTTGTGTCTGATTCAGAGCAGCTCAGCCCCAGGGTGATGCTGACCCCCGCGGGGCAGCCCACCCTCCCCAACTGGACCCAGTGGGATCGTTGCTCAAACCCTGCAATGCTCCTGCAAGATGGAACTGGGAACCCGCTCTCTCCCTGGGCTTAATGTGCTTTTCCAGCGATGTTCCCACTCATCACTTCACTTGTGAGGTCTGCTCCCCTCCGAGATGAGCTCACCATGGCTGAGTAAGAAACGGTGTTTCTGGAGGGTAATTTTGGGCTGGTTTTGCCGATTTGGCTCCTACAGGTCCAGCTGCGGGCCCGCACGAGCATGAAAAGAACCAGCAACCCGGCGAGTGAATGTTTCCCAAGAAAAACCTGCTGGCAACCCCTTCAGCAAGCTTCTTCCTTCCTTCTCCGTTTGCTTCACGGCAAAAAAAAAAAGGTTAAAACCCTCCCAAGGGGCGGGAGGTGGGAGGGATGGGCAGCCACAGATGCCTGCCGAAAGGGTAGAGCGGCTGGAAAGCAGGTATTGCCCCAAACCATCTCCTTGCAAACCCAATTTCTTTGACGCAAAGGACCTGAGGATCTTCTGCTTTTGCTTTTAACACCTTCTGCTCTTGGCTCTTTCAGCTTCCCGCGCAATTAACCACGTCTTGCCTCCTGCCCCTTCGGTCTCGATGCACCGGCATGAGAGGTGCTTGCAGCGCACAAGGAAAAGCAGCCAAAAAAAAAAACTTTTCCCCCCTCCAAACAACCTCATACCCTGTTTTAACAAGCTGCAGGTTTGTGTTAATACAAACCGTGCCCGCATTTAACCGAGTACGGGATCAAACCCACCCACTGAGCAATGCCATGGGACCAGGAGCTGCTGCGAGCACCGACACCATCGCGTGCCGGCAGCAGTAGCTTGTTCCCCATCATGATCCAACATACGGCTCATGCTCCATCGGCGCTCTGGATACCATATAATTTTTTATTGGCTTGGGTGCGCTCATAAACGGAGGTTCAGTGGGAACCGCCTGCGTACGAGAACAGCGAGTGCTCCTTTCCCACAAGGTCTCCTCTCCCGTGGAATTGTTTCAAGTATTTTGGCAATCGCACGTCCTGACAATTCAGCCCCGAAGCCCATAAATCCCTAATGGATATTCAATCGCAAATCATCCCCAGCTCTACAGGCTGCGATGCTGATCACCATATTAAGCATGGTAGAACAATGTGGAAAAGGGTATTTCGGCTCATATTAATAACCTGCCAAGTGCATAAATATCCTTCTGGCTTGAGCGCTATGGGGGATCTGGATGAAGCACAGGAGGACACAGTATGGAAGCCCTGGATGAGGATGCTCAGCGGTGCAGCGCTGGCCTTTCAGGCTCAAACCCATCGGGGTGAAGCTCAATGAAGGAAATCCTGCGCGGACAACTGGAGGAGCCAGCTACCTTCTGCCACCATCCCCCTGCCGTGCCCAAGGCTGGGGAAGGATGGGGAACCACCTCCCTGCAATCACTGCAGTCCCTGCAAGTGCCCATCACTGCCACCCCAACATCTGCAAGCTCATCTCAAAGCTTCCCCAGCAACATTTGCCTTTTAATTTCCACGAGCACTTATGTGACACAGTGGACATCTTCCTTGCAACGTCCCCAAAAGACACGTGTACCATGCGAGCCACAAGGATGTTTTTCGCCACAAATGTGGAAGTTTCTGGTTCTTCCACAAGAAGTTTTGCAGCCAAGAGCCTGGCGAAGATCCAGGGTGAACGCACTCTGGTGTGGTAAGAGAGCAATGGAGGATGCTGCTCTGGGGGGTGAGGACCACTGAGCCATCACCTCCACAAAGCAGACGGGATCACAGGGCTCTCCTAATTATTCCTGGTGGCTCCATCACGCATACTTTGGCCTCCCAACCATCCAGAGATGGACCCTGCAACAGCAGGGATGGGGGCTGCTCTTCCTCCCAGCCCCACGAGGCAAAATAAAGACCAGGGTTTCCTCGTTGAAGTTAACGAAAGGGCCTGGCTGGACTGGAGAGCAGATGCCAGACCTGTGGGCTGCACTGCTGGTACTTGGGCTAGTGGGATGCAGCTGGTGAAGTCAGGTTTTCCTAAACACAGCAACTCCCCAAGCAAAGGAAAAGGAAGCTTTGCAGAGCCAAATTGTCGTTCCACGTAGGCTTTATTAGCGGGACTTGGAACAAAGGCTCTTACTCACCCAAACAAAATGTATCTTACCCGTATATAAATATAGCTATCTCCCGAGTGAGCACATCTCACGTTCAAAGTTCACCTTCAGAAAAATCTAACAAAACACCCATCTGTGCTACACTTGCTTGACCTCTCTCCTGGTTTCAGCCCACGTAGCAGACACCAACTGGCCCTTTCCCCGTACGGCTGACCAAGTCCTTCTCTCCCTGCTCCCAATCTCA